TATATATATATGACTGGTATATCATATTTTCAGATATAACCGAACTTTTTTTTTTTTTGAGACAGTCTTACTCTATTGTCCAGGCTGGAGTGCAACGGCATGATCTTGGCTGACTGCAAACTCCACCTCCCAAGTTCAAGTGATTTTTCTGCCTCAGCCTCCTAAGAAGCTGGGATTATAGGCACCTGCCACTGAGCCTGGCTAATTTTTGTATTTTTAGTAAAGATGGGGTTTCGCATATTGGCCAAGCTGGTTTTGAACTCCTGACCTCAGGTGATCTGCCCACGGCCTCCCAAAGTGCTATGATTACAGGCGTGAGCCACCATGCCCAGCCCATAAGCAAACATTTTTAAGAAACAAAGTTTGACAGCTCTTCTTGGAAAAGCTGGTTTGAGTGTTCCCAGTCTCATAGGTGAGTAAGGGATGTCACTTCCTGGTAGACTCAGGAAACGCAGGATGTTTTGGAGATCTTGAAAAGAGAGTAATTAACTCAAATATATAGATGTTACAGACACAGCCTCATGGCAAATCCTTGGTTTAATCTTCTATCCTTTTTCCTGCTCTCTCAGTTCAAGCAACATTGCTCCAGAAAATTGCCCTAATTTTATTGAACATGTTATGTTTTTCCCAAAATAGAATCTTCTTCCAAAATAGTTTCCCTCTTTAAATTGCTCCTTTCTCTAGCTTTTGCCAGGATAACTTCCCATGCTTTTCATTGTGGCTTACATTCCATGTGAATGTAATGTTAGTCCCCCTGTAAACCTGTAAAGAAGCAATATTTTAAAGGTCACTAAATAATTCAGAAATTGTGTGATGGTAACATTTCTAAATAAAGGAATTCTTTTCTGAATTATTATGTTTTGTTACTGAAATTCAAACCACATTTTTTAACTTCCTTTGTAAAACTGTAGTTTTATTTACCACTTCAACTATATTTAGGTATATAGTTTAGGGATATAAAGCACATTTAACTGCTGAGAAACTATCACCTAACTCCAGAGCTCATTTCTTTTCCCAAACTGAAACTCTGTACCCAGTAAACACTAACCCCTCACCGTTTCTCCTCGCCTGAGACCGGCCTCTATGAATTGGCTACTCTAGGTATCACATATTAGTGGAATCACACAGTATTTGTTCTTTTATGATTGACTTATTTCATTTTGCATAATGTCTTCCAGGTTGACCCATGTTGTAGCTTGTGTTAGAATTCTCGTCCTCTTTTTTTTTTTTTTTTTTTTTTGAGATGGAGTTTCACTCTTGTTACCCAGGCTGGAGTGCAGTGGCGCGATCTCGGCTCACCGCAACCTCTGCCTCCTGGGTTCAAGAGATTCTCCTGCCTCAGCCTCCCTAGTAGCTGGGACTACAGGCATGCACCACCATGCCCAGCTAATTTTTGTATTTGTAGTAGAGACAGAGTTTCACCATGCTGACCAGGATGATCTCGATCTCTTCTCCTCGTGATCCACCTGCCTTGGCCTCCCAAAGTGCTGGGATTATAGGTGTGAGCCACCGCACCCAGCTCTCTTCCTCTTTAAGTATGGATCATATTCCATTGTATGTATATACTATTTTTTATTTATCCATTCATCTGTTGATGAACAAGGGTGTTGTTCTCACCTTTAGACTATTATGAGTAATGCTGCTATGAACACAGGTGCATCTATTCAAGTTCCTAATTACGTTTTTGGGGTGGATAGAACCAGAAGTGGAATCACAGGAGCCTATGATAATTCTATGGTTAATGTTTTGAGGAAGTGCTGAACTATTTTCTACAATGACTGTACCGTCTTACATTCCTGCCAGCAGTTCACAATGGATCCAGTTTCTCCACCTTCTTTTCAATACTTATTTTCCATTTTTGTAGTAGCCATCCTAATGAATGTGGAGCCCATACCACATTTTGTAACACAGTTATGAGTTTAGGAATTAGAAGGACTGTACCCTCATCTAGTCCTAGTCTCCGATCTTCCAGAAGAAGCTGAAACCCAGAATGTTAAGTGACTTATCCTATGTCACTTACCAGAATGGGGCTAGTAGCAGGTCTCTTGCTTGCCAACGTTTCATGGCGTCTCTTAGACATTGTACACAAGAGTAGGGGAAAAAAGCAGCAGCTAAGCATCAGACTTAGGAATACATCAGGGCTGAAATAAAATCATATGTGAAATTGAGATAGCAGTCTGACTTTGCACTCTCCTACCTTAGAAAGTTAGGCTGGCACAGAAAACTTGGTGAACCTCCAGAGCTTCAGTTTCCTATCAGATGCAGATAATAATACTTGCCTTGTAGCAATTTTGGAAAGATTAAATGAAATTATTCAAGATCCTATATAGTCCTGAAGCTATTTCGACATTGAAAAAATATTAATTTTTCTTCCACCACCAACATCTAGCATAATTTGGGATACATGTCAAGTGCTGAACCAGAACTCTGACAACAGGGTCTAAAACTGCTTTAGGCTTCAAATTTCTTCTGGCAATTTCTTTCCAATTCAGGGTGGATGCTAACAAAAGGTCAGAGGAACAACAGAAGCAGATGGTCTTCCTGAAGCGTGTGCCAAAGGGATTTGTGAGTGTGTCTTGGGGTGACGTCTCCACCCATCGCACAGCTTGGAGGCTCAAGGGCAGATCCCCAACATTGTACTGGTCCCTTCCTGAGCACTCCCTGGTGCAGACTCCAAGTCTGACAAGGAAAATGTGCTGTGATCATCCTACGGGGGACAGGGCAGCTGCTCCAAGGTGGAGTCTATTGTCAAGGTTCTCCTGGTAACAAAAAGAGGAAAAGGTCTATCAAAGCATTTCCTGCCCGCGGGAGCCATGTGCTTCCATTAATTCTTTTCCCTGAGTCAGTCCGTCTCCCTCAGCTCATGTCTCTCCGTGTCCACTGTCCCAGGAAAAAGAACAGGCATTTTTAGCAGCTGATTTAAAAACCTTTCCACAAAGTGAGGTTAACAAGAGGAGTAAGCTCAGATATTCAGTGACGTGCACCTATATATTTCATAAGGAAGCTGGCACTAAAAAACGGTTTGGGGCAGTTACAATTTTTCAGAAATCTGCTTATGGTCTTCAACTGCTTTGGCCATGGATACCTGAGGATAAGAGTGACGTCTTTGCTATCCCTGCGCCATCAAGAAATCATAGAAAAACAACAATGAACATTCTCTTCATATTACACTGATAACATTCACACCTTATAGAAGAAGTTAGCTAGTGATGGGATTCAGTAAAACAGTATTTCTAAATGAGTGATGGAGTATGGTGAATCAAATTTGCTAGCCACAGGAGTCAGTAAAAATATATTTCTAAATGGACGACTGAGTTTCATGAACTAATCTGAATCTCAGCTCAGGAAAGAAGGCCTGGAGTGTGACTCTCATGAACAAGGTAAAATGTGGTCACTTATAGTGCACCCTGTTCTGGAAAAGATATTGTCACAAAGAGAGAGGATGGTGAGCATGGTGTCTACTAACAGAGCAGAGAGAAAGATAGAATTTGACAAATGCCTGTCCAGCAGTGTTATGATGAAAGCCCCTAAGTGCTAATATGGGAAATTGCAAAAAATGGTGGAAGAGAATCAAGAAACCCCGGCCAATGACCTGCCAATTGAACAGCTGAGTGAAGTCATCCTGTGTCACTCAGCCACCACCTGACCACAGATGCCTGAGAGAGCTCAGCAGACAATCACTGAGTTGGCGCAGGCCAGAAGAACCTGAGCTTATCCACAGAATCATGAGTTAAATTGAATGCTTGTCGTTTTAAGTCACTAAGTATTGAGGCAGCTCGTTATGTAGGAAAAGGTAAATGTAGTGGTCAGTGGCTAAGAGCTCTCTGCTGTGAAGTGAGTCCTTCAGACCTTGCCAAAGTCAGGGAGAAATTGTCCCTAAGACTCTAAATTTTGCTTGGCTTTCACTTATAATTTTTCCTCCTCCTTGGCACTTAAATTTCTCTTATAAATGAATAAATTAATGGTTCTAATTTACTTATTTATTTATTATGATTTGAGACATGGTCTCACTCTGTCACCCAGGCTGGAGTGCGGTGGCATGGTCCTGGCTCACTGCAGCCTCCAATTCCTGGGCTCAAGCAATCCTCCCATCTCAGCCCCACGGGTAGCTGGGACCACAGGCACGTGGCACCACTCCTGGCTAATTTTAAATTTGTTTTTGTAGAGATGAAGTCTTGCTATGTTACCCAGGTTGGTCTTAAACTCTCGGAGTCAAGAAATCCTCCCACCTTGGCCTCCCGAAGTGCTGAGGTTACAAGTGTGAGCCACCAAGCCAGGCCCTTGTTTACATGGCAGGCTGTGAATTTAGCTGGCATGAGTAAGTCTTCCCATCTTTCAAGCACAGTGCCCAGAGTATTGAATTTCTGGTGTTTCTCAGCTGAAGAGCAGAGTTTTGAGTGGTTATGCCTCTGGCATGCATCTGTCCTGCCCAAGCAACCAGCTCTATATTATTTGTGTAGAATTTTTACAAATCTAACAGCAAAAGTGAGTCCCTAAAATTGAAAGATAAAAATTTAACCAGTTTTTTATATCCGTTTAATTTTTTTAAAGGTATAAAGAAATAGTAACTGAAATACATATGAAATCTGTTCAATATATATAGAATCCCGGTGTTGATGTCCCTCAAGGATACGGAGAGTCCACATACCAGGCTAGATAATCATTGAAGAATCCCAGGCCTCTGTCCTCTTTGATCCCGTAAACAAGGTGAAGATGTAGGCATCTTCATCTTCCAAATATATGTAGAATGAAATGACAACACTAGCTTATGCCTACTCAGTGTGATCATGTGATCATTAGCAATGTCAAGTTAAAAACCAGACACTCAGGTTGTGGTTTTGGCTGCGTAGTAGCCCACGCTTGCTTGACTAGTTTATTTTAGTCAATTTATTTAATTATTTTTCTGTGTCAGAGTTGATATGATATACACTTAGTAATTTTTTTTCAAATTGAAATTTGATAATAACAAACGGCGTTTGATCTCTAGCAACATCTTGTAGGACTCCATTCCACCAAGATTCCCACGCTTCTCAGGCACAGATTATGAAGCCCTCTAAACCCATTCTATTCACACTGAAATTCTTACTATATAAGGTAAGAGGATAGAATTACTTTTGTGACCAGCATAGCCTTTTTCTTTGTATATCACTGGAGTTTTTAAACCTTCCCAGCATTGCTCCCTTCCCTTCTTTCACTCACCAAATGAAATGCCCAAACTGTGACATACGACTCTGAAGCTGGAAGGAGAATAAGAGAAAACGATATGAGAACTTGTTCCCTTCCACTTAACATTTGAAGCCATTCCTGTATAATGAAAACCACACAAAGTTTTTAGTGGCAGAAATGCGCCGTTGCACAATGCCATTTTGACATGGCTCTTTCGGCATGAACTGCGGTTCGCCTCTGGGTTCAGCTACGTAATTGCTAATGGAACACTGTTGACTGAGCCATCCTTCAAGATGCTGAAGAGACAAAAAGGATGCAGATGTTGACTCCAGGGGTTAATAAACAAATACCTATTTTTAAGTGATATGTGTGGGTTCATATTCGAAAACTCTTAGGAGGTACCTACCCCACACTAGAGTCTGTACCAGAAGCTTTGTAGCATTCAACCATGAGCAAAGTGCTGTCCTAGTCCCCAGTGAGCTTACTTACAGATATCATATTTAACTTGTGGTTAAATGGTTTGCACATGTTGCCTTATGTTATGCTTACAATAAGCAAGAGAAATAATTACAAAAGATGTTATGAGCTGAACTCTGTCCCCCCAACCAAAATTTACATATTGTGATCTTGATCCCCAGCACTTCAAAATGCAACTGCATTTAGAGATAGGGCCTTGAAAAGAAGTAGGTTACACTAAGGTCTTTAGAGTGGGACCTCTTTCAATGTAACAAGCATCCCTATAGGAAGAGGAGATTAGGTTACAGACACACACAGAGGGAGGATCATGTGAAGCTTCAGGGAGAAGATGGCCATGTACAGGCCAAGAAGAAAGCAACCAGCTGACAGCTTGATCCTGGACTTGCCCCTGCAGACTGTGAACAGGTAAGTTTCTGTTGTTTAAGCCACCCAATTGGTGGCATCTTGTTACAGAAGCGTTAGTAAACTGATACAGAAGGTATTGTTATCCCTATTTTATTAATGTTAAAGTGAGGTTGTGAGACATTAGGTAATTTACTCAAAATGTACACATACCTCATAAACGGCTGAGACAGGATTAGAATGCAGGTCTTCATCAGCCCTATAAACTGCTCTCTTATCTACTGCCTTCCACACTGTAACACACATGGAGCTATCCCACTAACAGCCAAGGCCAGGGCTGGAAAAAACCCAGATGTTCTTCTTCAGTCAACTACCTTTGGTTGTTTTCTTCCTTACCAATTTCAGATGCTTCCTATCCTCGGTTTCAATCTTTCTGTTCTTCTGCTACTCTCCCTTCATGATTAAAACTACATGATCTCAGTGGAATATATTCGCTGTCAGGAAGAAAGTTAAATGCTGGTATTTTAGTTCATAGAAGTGATTGCTAGTGATAAGTACTACTCATTTTTTTTTTTTTTGGACAGGGTCTCACTCTGTTGCCCAGGCTGGAGTGCAGTGGTGCCATCACGGCTTACTGTAGCTTCGACCTCGCAGGCTCAAGGTCTTGCCTCAGCCTCACGAGTAGCTGGGACTACAGGCACACGCCACCATGCTTGCATTTTTTTGTAGACAGAGTTTTGTGATGTTGCTCTGGCTGGTCTTGAACTCCTGGGCTCAAGTGATCCTCCTGCCTCAGCCTCCCAAAGTGCTGGGATTACAGGTGTGAGTCATCAAGCCCAGCCTAATTCTTACTGTCTAAAAGACAAACTTGTCTGGACTAAGAAATGAATCTCTGTAATAGCAGACAGTGGTAAATATATTTAGGGGGAGACAGCCCTTACATTCTTTTGAAAAATGTATTTTAATTGCTGGAACTGTATGCTTTAGGGGAATCTGAAGGGAGTTAGAAAATGATGTGATTGTTGTGAGTTGGTAAGATTTCTTGAAACAAATAAAATTTAGAGCCAAGTCAAAACAATGGTATTATCTGAATTAGAGATAATAGGAATAAGGTATTCCACAATAAAGTCCTAGTCACATTTTGCTATAATTGTTCAGTCCAAAAGGTATTGAGGCCTGCAATATATTTGGGGAAACATGGATGAATTGAAGTGAGCCATGTCCTCCCACTGTGCACAGTAGGTGACTTTAATCTAGGTCAGCACTTTTCAATATGACTGAGCAGCAAAATCACCTGGGGAGTGATTGAAGCATGGAGCTAGCAGGTGCCCAGCCCCAGAAACTCTGAATCATTAAGTCCAAAGGCCTGGATTTTTAAATGTCCCCAAGGCGACTGTGATAAGAGTAGGCTTGGAGACAATTGCACTGCCCTAGGAATTCTGCAATGTCAGGGGAAGGCAGTCCTCAGACACAGCATTTCAGATACTGTGGCTGCCAGTACTCTTCAGGATCATGGGGCTTCTGTCAGATGATAAAACCTGGGCATAAATAATAAACATAGACAAATTGCAAGAACACTAAAAGGAAAGGTAATGATAAGAAACAGTACTTTTCTTTCTGGTCAAACATACATGTATCAGGGTAGATAAATATCAGATTGAAATTCAAGAAAGAAAAATACCTGAGACTGGGTAATTTATAAACAAAAGTGGTTTAATCGACTCATAGTTTCACATGGCTGGGAGGGCCTCTGAAAACTTACAATCATGGCTGAAGGTGAAAGGGAAGCAAGGCACGTCTTACATGGTGGCAAGAGAGAGAAAGCCCAGTGGAAACTGCCACTTTTCAACCACCAGCTCTCATGAAAACTCTCTCATTCTCACAAGGACAGCACTGGGGAAACCGTCACCATGATCCAATCACCTTCCACCAGGCCCCTCCCTCAACATGTGGGGATTACAATTCAAGAGGAGATTTGGGTGGGGACACAGAGCCAAACCATACCAGTATCATTTTCAATTAATGGCAGAATTAATACGGTAAGACAAATTCTAACTAATGCCATGAAATCAAATCCTCTTTCTTGGTCTTTATATTACGAAGTGATACCAACAGAAGAGCCAATGTAACCTAAGAAATGGTATCATATCTCTCATGTTCTGTTTAGCTGACTATGGAGCTTTGTAAAAATACCTAGGTACTAAAGACAATGCCTGGAGAGTCTGGGACCATGAATCTCTATTTTTAAAACTTTACAGATGAATTCAATTCTCACCAACAGTGGGGGTTGTCTCAGCGACTCTGTCATTGCTTGGCTGTGGAAGAGATAGTCAAAATAATGAAAGCCAGCCTTGGCACAGTCACCAGCCAACCAGAACGGGGGCAGGCTATTAAAAAGGACAGATGCATCTACAAAAAGTAATTTTCCTCACACTGTGCCTTCAGCAACCACTGACTAAAGATGAAAACTTTTAAATTAGGCCTTTATCAGACTTAAGAGAAATTCCTGTCATATGTGGAATACCAACTGATCCAGAAAAAAATCCTGCAGCACAGTTGCTATTTCCCATTGATGAAGAATGTAAAAGCTGATAAAGGTCACAGACATCATCCATCTGGTCTAGCTGTTTTTTTTTTTTTCCTTACAGATGAAACCCAGAGATAAAAAAGGAATTTGTCTAAGGCAGAGTCGGGAAAAACCCCAGAATTCCAGGCTCAGTCTGGTATTGTTTGCTCAACACGATGCTATTGTCCACAGGTGAAGGAACAAAATCTCAGGGAAGAAAACTAATATGTTCCTATAGGACTATGTATCTGTAGTGTGTGCATGAGTGTGTGCATGTGTGTGTGAACGTGTTTGCACATGTGTGCATATTGTGTGCATGCATCTGTGTGCATGTGTGTGCATGTGTGTGTGCACTTATCAGCATATGTGTGCATGTGTGTACATGTGTGTGCATGTGTGTACATATGTGTGTGTGTGCATGCACTTGTCTGCATATGTCTGTGTGCATATGTGTATGCATGTTTGCGTGTGTGTGTAAGAAGTAGAGAGGGGAGAAAGCGGCTACCCTAAAAATCTGACTACTCATCCAGTATTAATTTAAAAAAAACTGCTAAACCTTATTGGGACAGAATGCTTACTTCCAAAAACTCTATAACATAGTTTTGCCAATACTTAGCTGAACCATATTCACTGTCAATATGTATGAACATTGAAATAGAACACATCTGCATTACCCATGATAATCACTTAAAATATCTGGAAACTGTTGGCAGAAGAGTTTTTCAAGTAAAAAAAGATCTTATACCATTTATTTATAATACTTGTTAAATAATAAGACTCATTCTAGGTATCAGGCATAGTCACAATTTCTTAAATATTTAATTAGGTAATATATTAGTTTTCTGTTTCCACAATCTGGCCTCACAAAGCTTTTCTTCATAATCTTTTACTTCTGTTTAATCTTCAGCTGCCACATTGCTGCTCATTGTTATTGAACTTTTCCAAAGGTCCTGTATAGCTTTTCATTCAGTACACCCACTATGAGGCTACAGACTTCTGCAGAATCTAACCAAGTTCAACTGCTAGATGGTGGATTACTTTTCAAGCTATTAACCATATCTTTTCCTAGGACCCAATACACCATAGCTAGACACTAAATGTTACTTATCTATTTAAAGATCTTAATGTTTCTCTTTTACCTTCAAAATAAAATTAATACTTAAACTTGTCATTTAAGACCCAGGTGCCTTTCTTTTTTTCTTTTATCTCTCTCTCTCTCTCTCTTTTTTTGTGTGTGTGATGGAATCTTGCTCTGTAGTCCAGGCTTGAGGACAGTGGCGCCATCTTGGCACACTGCAACCTCTGCCTCCCAGGTTCAAGTGATTCTGGTGCCTCAGCCTCTCATGCAGCTGCGATTACAGGCATGCACCACCATACCCTGCTAATTTTTGTATTTTTAGTAGAGATGGGGTTGCACCATGTTGGCCAGGCTGGTCTCGAACTCCTGACCTCAAATCATAGGCCCACCTTGGCCTCCCAAAATGCTGAAATTACAGTCATAAGCCACTGCACCTGGCCCCATCTGCCTTTCTAAACATTACCTGGGAATGCCTAGGCCCTTGATCAGACTGAACTGCCTGGAAATTCTCAAACACTCTTTCCTGCCTCCTTGTCTTTGCAAACGCGATAGCACGGGCTAAAACAATTTTTTTTTTCTCTACTCCCCCAACTCCGACTTTCAAATATGGAAAATTCTCTGTGGAATTTTCTATGGTCTCCTCCAGCTGGGTTAGGCCTCCTTCAATTCTCCTGCTACTCCCCAAATACACACTCAGACATACAGACACACAAATGCACACACACACACATGAACACACACACACAGTTTCTGCCTTCTGCTTCCAAAGCGTTCTATCTAAATTCCCATCACACTTCTCACGGTATGATATCCCTTTAAAAACCTTTTCTGTTCTTCTGATATGGAGAACGACAATCCATTCTGGCCATAGCGGCTCCCACCTGTGAGTGCTTACTATATTTTTGTTGCATGAATAGGTAAGATACTAATGCTTCCCCCCAACACATCACCAACGTGTGAGAGCAGGGGTTCACAAAATTATCTGTTAAGCTGGGAATCCATACAGGCTGTGATGATAAACCCTCATATGGAGTATAGAAGGGTCACTGAAATACCCTGAAAAAACATACAATTCCCAGACCATGGCTTCATTATTAGTTTATTAACAGATGAGACTTTCCATGGAAATGTCAATTGCATACCTTGATTAGCCTCTGATGATGAGAAAAATATAGTCAATCATACACCCTGGACCTATTTCACAAAAAAAACCTATTTGTTGGATAAACCCTCTTTTGCTGTGAGCCAGGTGATGAACTGAGTGAATAAAATATTGAATCCATGGTTTCTGAGCTCCTTCAATGAACAAAGTAAGACCCAACACCTTGACTGACTAGAAGAGAGCTTACGTGCGGCCTTGTGTTCCAAGGTGCTAATACAAGTGTTATTTTAACTGCAGACTTGAAAGGCTATATCTAAGCACATCCTTGATACAATTAAAACTATTAAACTAAGACACTTTCCCTATGTAGTAACTGTAGTAGATAAGTAGAAAAACATACCCAGATCAGATTAAAGTGATTCTTCGGAGGCCAGGCCTTCCTGTCTTCAAGACTGACTAACATAGAAGTAATTGTCACTTAAAAGAGAAGGAGAAACTTAGTTTCTCCTAGGGAACAAGTATAGCCTAGTGGCTACAAATGAAGGCCAGAGTTCCTAGATTTGATTTCTGGAGTTATTAGCTGTGTGTCATTGACCAAGTTACTGCACCTCTCTGTGCTTCGGTTTTATTACTGTATTACACACACACACACACACACACACACACACCCTTAGCTCCTACATCATGGCACTAATTAAGTGATGCATTAATAATACACAAAAAACCCACTTTAGAAAATTGTAAATACTCAGTGAAAGTTTACAGTGATCTAATGATACAAATATGATTAATGAGCTATTCTTTGATGCTTTTATTTCTTTAATTACAGTGAGATGTCCCGAGACATATTTGCTTATCCTTGTGCCATAGATACATTTCTGAACTGAACTAATTCTCCACGTTCTAATGATGTTTGTTTTCACCTCACATTAAATAATAAATGTATTATGAAGCCAAAAATCATCCTTAAGCGATTACATTGATTCCAACTTTAGTTCTCCACAAATGGAAAAGACAACATGTTTGTGATAATCTACTGGAAGTGTATTTATTCTCCACATCATTGTGGGTTGCATCCAAATTGCTTTTTAATTTGTTTCCCATGTTACAGCCTTGAAACCAGAAAATAACATAATATACTGCGGGAAAACAATTTAATGCATGCTAATGTGAAAAGAGGAGAAAGTATACTTTGTACTCTATTGAAAACAACCGTGGCAGAGCAAATAGTTACTGGGTATGTATAATACACTTAACCATTGAACTGTGTTTAGCATCCAAGATATGCTTCAATTTTTGAATAGAAAATAAAAATTTTCACTGACAGGCTCTATCGGGGGATAAAGTTATTTCTAGCACACGCAGTGAACATTAACAGTTTAAAAGGATGGGAAACTAGGGTCATGGAGCAGAGGACCTCTTTATAGCCTTCTCGTCCGTACCCTTGGGACACCAGCACAGGGAAAATAAAACAGGGAAAATTTCTATGTAATTTACTAGGATGTCCCAGGCTGGGCTCGGCTTCCTCCACTTCTCCTGCCACTTTCCACACCCTTCTTTTGTTTATAACCTTTTTTTGGAGTTACAGCTGTCTTTACAAATCTCGTGAAAATTATCAATATTCCTCCTAGAAAAATGCGCACGTGCATGCACCCACAGACACACACACACACAATTTTGCATATTAATTCATGATCTTCCTGAATGCTTTCTTGGAAAGAACTCCTTTTTAATAAAGTGATTTGTATTATCTTTAGTGAATGAGTACATTAATATTTGAAAATAGATTTTGCCATTTGGTTTCCTTTTTAAAAACATAGTATTTGTAACCTGACTTGTGAGCCTCCCAGCAGATTTGAGGTAGTTCACTTGTTTTGTTTTACTGCGATCAGCATGTTGAAAAACCCTGTGGGTGTTGCTAAAATGTTTAACTTCTGGAAAAATTTTATTTCTTTTTGTTAGGAATGCATAGCATGTATTTATGTATGCTGTCCTAGAAATATTGTATTATAATTTTAATGGGAAATAAGCAAACAGATAATATTGTTTCTATATTTGTTCATATTAAACAAACAGTAGTAATATACAGAATCTTGGTCATCATTCTAGATGCAAAATATATTGCTTGGGAGAAATAGATGTAAGCATGTACATAGCTACTGTAGTCATAGAAGAAATTTTTCAAAAGTATAAGGAGAAAGCCTTTTAAAATTCATCCTTAATGGATACATAAATAGCAATGCCAATGAGTCAATCTATGAATTTCTGTATCTATATCTTATATTTTAATATTGGGACAGGAAAACTTTCCAGATATTTGATGTAAGAATTTGTTTTGAAAAGGTTTGGTAATTAATATAAAGCTATTCTAAAGCTATCTTTTATTGTTAAAGACACATCTTTAGAGAATTTTGTAATTATCAACATTTACCATCTTATTTTTTACTTTGAGACCAAGCATCACAAACCAAAAGCCAAAAGTTTATAATAATTTATTATTGTTGCATGACATTTGCCAGTAAAATAAATTATAGAAACCATAGCCTCTTTATAAACTATTTAGTATATCAAATTCACTTCCTAATGCTTACCGCGGTAACTGTATGAAATTTAATTAGATTACGTTTTAGCATTAGTCAGATTTTTAAAAATTATAAAATGTTTTCACAGTCCTTTGGATTTATAAAAGACCCCATTATTTTAACATTTGTGCAACCTGTTTGAAACGTATAAGAAACCTTTTACAGACCAAAAGGTGGCAATTGGTTTTACTGAGCAGCTGAAAGCATCTTACTTTCTTGAATTTGTACTTAACATCCACATGACGCACTTTTTCAGGCATTATATTAGGTGCAAATAAATAATCAATTACTGATCTCTAAAAATCTATACCAATAGACAACATTCAGGCTTGGCGACATTTTCAACACTCAGATATAAAAATTCAGTAAACAATTTATGCATAGGATTCTCTCTTCCTGTCCTCCCTCTCCCTCCTCCCTCCCCCTAGCTATTTGGTTAAAAAAAAAAAAAAAGTTCCTCTTAAATTTAAGTCCTAGGGCCTGACATAGTGACCCTGGATATATGTCATCTCCAGCCATCTGTTTTCTTTAGCTATCATTACATCTGTCCAGGCTCTTATATCAGCATCGATCCTTTCCTGCAGGGACGGGAGAGTGTTCAAATCCTTGCTGAAAGCATTTTGTCCTCCACTGTAACAGCACGGGCGTGAAATTGTTCGGAGTCTTTGTAACCAGTCTGTTCAATCCTGGTCCCTTTCCAGTCCCGGTCCTTTTCCAGCCTCTGGAGTCCTAACAGAAGAGAAGCTTGCAAGATAGCAGCAAAACTGCTGCATCTGTGAGAATCTCACAAAATCACTTGGTCTTTGAATGTCCATTCTTGGATAACGTCCTTATCCATTCTGTTGTCCTCAGTGAACTTTGATAGAATATTTCCTCAGTTTCAGAAACTGGAAAAGCTTGTCTTTTGTCCTCTTCTTCAAGGCCATCAGGGCGCGTGTTTTCTCCTCCACATCTTGATCTATGGCAAATATGATCTTAGCTCTCTCCTCTGCTTTCTTGTCTCCAGAGTTTCTGAAGAGCCTTTGCAGTGATTCTTGGTCTATGTTTTCAAAGATGTTGCCCACGGCTTTCTTACGAGAGGCTGTGTCAAAGTGGTAGCCGTGGATGGACGGGCTGACTCGTAGCGACGTGGACATAATGATGGCTTGGTGGCTTCGCTTTGCTTTCATCGATGTGGGGATCTTCCGGAATTCAGCTCCCAGGCTTTCCAGAGAGTCTGTAGTGAAATCATTCTGGGACTGCTATTTAAAGTGTGAACAAAAGCTCCAGGCTCAAATTACACTGGTGACATCAGAGTGATCTCAAGGAAGAATAATCACAGAAAGACTTAACAGTTGAGTTGCCAACATCCTGTTCTAGTGTAAAACGTTACGAAAAGCTGTGTTCAGTGATTAGGGGCAGGGCTGTGAGTATTCATTTTACTTCACATGTGGCAGTAGGATAATATGGAGCTGGACCTTCCTTTAAGGAAAAAGCTGAAGACAGGAAAATACAAAGATAAGACATAAATAAGATTGCTTAGACTCTCAAATCTTCACAAACCACAATTAAAACAAGGGGTTCTGCTAACCACAGGAAAGCTTTTATTCCCAGACAAGTAATTAAAGTGCACTGCAAACATTTGGCAGTCCACATCAGTGCCCTTTGGACATTCCTATCAGGGGCAACTCCAGAGCTATTGAGAGAAAGCTGAGCAACCAAGGATAATAATTTGCGGTGTGTTCAATTCTTAGAATGGGATTTTACGTACAAAACGCTGACATGACACAGCCTGAAAAGATGACTTTTCAGAGATGGTGCACTAGTGCTAACCTGCAGTCATTAAAGACAGTTGTCACCTGAGGATAGTGATAAGATGAATGATAGAGGATATCTCCTTAGGCTTGTGTATATATCCACAACAATAGCTACCGAAAGCCAGCAGGAAAAGTTAATCAAGTGTTTTACCTGCGCGGTGCCCAAAAGGAATGAAGTGATCTTTTGTTTGCAAATTTATTTTGGCATTTCCCAGACATAGAGTAATAATTTCTTTGGAAGAATATAAACATGTTCTTCCTGCCTTCCACAATATTCAAGCCAGCCAGTGTCCCCGCTGACGTATGGAGTTGTCATATGCTAAATATGAGCTTCAAAGGGTGCTGGAGACTTGGAGATCTTACGTCTGGTCCACTTTCTAGTCCTTTAAGAAAGCAGGACAAGTCTTTTTTTCCTTCTTTTTATCTAGTCAAGTAAGTCCAGAAAGTACATAAAGGGAGACATATTAGGGAAGTTACCTCACTAGAAAATTGAGTTATAGACTCTCCTTATATATTCATTCACTCACTCATTTATCCACTTATTTATTTAATCAATATTTATTAAACCTGTTTTATTAGCCAGAACTTTGCGAGGCATTGGAAATAAAACAGTAAATCAAACAAAACCAACCAAACCAAACCATGCAAGAACCCCTTTTTCAACCTTAATGAAGTTTATGTTCTACTGGGAAATAGACAATAGAAACATATACATTTATAACATATATGATGTCAGAAAGTAATGAATCCTATGAGTAAAAATGAAGGAGACTTGTACAGGAGTGGAAGGAGAGGGCTGAGATTTGCCTAGGATATTCAGGCACAGCTTCTCGTACTGAGACATTGTGACAAGATTTAAAAGAGGTGAGGGAGGCAGCCAGCTGTATGGATATCCATAGGAAGAGGGCTGTGGGCAGAGGAGCAAATGCAGAAGGTTGAAGAGAAGAGTGTGCAAGGGGTGTATGGAGAACAGCCAGGGACCCATGTGGTCAGAGCAGAGTGAGCAGGGCAGAGTGTATGGAGATGAGGTAAGGGTGAATAGGCAGTGGGAAGAGGGCAGGAGCAGAATGTATGCAGCCTCACAGGCTTTGATTGTGGATTTAGTTCTTACTCTGTAGAAGACAGGTAGGCTTTGCAGAATTTGGAGCAGAGAAATAACATTGTTTCCCTTATAATTTTAAAAGATCACAGTCACTTCTTAGAAAAGAATTGGTTTCAAGGAGGCAAGTGGGGAGTGGAGGGCAAGAAGACTCATCAGGAAATGTTGAAATAATTCAGGAAAGAGAGGATGAAGGCTTCTAGGGAGAATGTGGAGGTAGTGAGAACTGATCCAGTTTTGGCATATTGTGAAGGTAAAAGCCAAGAGGATTGCTGAAAAAGTAGATGTGAGGAATGAATGACAAGCAGGAGCCAAGGCTGATCTTTTCTGAAGGATGCCTACTTGAAACACATTTCTAGGTGTGCCAGTGTTCAACTCTCCAACCATGCAGCTCATGTGTGTTCCAGTTTTTCCAAGGCTTCCAGAAGAACGCTTTGTTCTGCGGTCTATGGCTATAGATTTATAGGCATATAGAGTACACCTTTGTGGCAGCCCATTTCCCTTGCTAAATAAAAAAAAATTATTATTATGGCAACAAGGATTTACTGAGCTTTGATTATGTGCCAAGCAGAGGACAAGAGATTCACAAAACCTCTCTTAATTATTGTCATAACTCAAGGATTTATCAACCTTCTTATACTATGTTCTTTCTTGAGGTGATTCTTATGTGGGCTTATGCTTTTTATCATGTCCTATTTATTGATTACTCCTAAATTTTGATCACAGCCTAGGCCTGTTCTCTGAAGTGCAGATTCTCTTATTCAGCTAACTAATCAATACAAATATATAAAAATGTGGTATACATATCCATTCTGTCATAAAATAAACCTGGCTATGATCCCTAATAATGCCCTTTTTTCTCTCCCTTTACATAATCTATGGGCAAAGTCTGTCAGCTTTATCTAGAAAATATTTCCCAAATCCATCTACTTTCTCTCTATTTTCATTGCCATTTATGGCAACCCTTCATATGGTGGATGCTGTGATGTGTAACCCAGAACTCTCTAAGATTTTCCCGGGTGCTCGGCTATCAGCCTGCTTTGGGACTGCCCCTACTGAAGAAGTTTATATCAGCTGAGGGTACCCTTTTTCCCTTCCAGGTGCAGCTATATCCAGTGACTGATCCGCACAGTGGTGTAAAATCCTGCTCTCCCTGTCCTTGTCAACTCTAAGGGGTCATCTAGTCTTCAGAGTGCCTTTCCAGGGTAGGCTGAGATCTCCCTCTGTCCAATCCTTTGTCCTTCCCATCTGCAGGCATTGATCCTAAATGGCATTCTGCAACCAGTCAGCTGCCTGCTGATCTGCATCTCAGAGTTTGCTTCCTCGGGAGCCCAGCCTAAAATACTCTATCATCTCTTGCTAGACTATGACCAAATAACTCACTTTCCTGGCGTTCCTGATTTCTCTCTTGCCCCAGATTCCCTACACAGCACCCAGAGCCATATTTCCTAACCAGCACTCTGATTAAACCACTCTTGCTGTTGCTCTTAGGATAAGCCCAAAACTTTACATGACCTCTTTGAACATGACCTGTTGTGTCTTCATGCCTTCAAATTCCTTGGATACACCACATTCATTCCTACTGTCAGAATTTGCTTATCTTTTTCCTTTTATGGAATGTCCTTTTATGCTTTATCTCAGCTAGGTAATTCCTGGTTATTCATATAATCTCAGCTAAAAGCTACTTGCTCAGAGAGGCTTTCCTAGTTCTTGCCAACTTACTCATTACTCATTCTTAGTAGAACTTTTTATTAGAGTTTCCAAACATACATTTGTTTGAGGGATTACTCATTTAAAGGCTCTATCAAGAGCAGGGATTGGATCTACCTTTCTCACTATGTTCAAAGTTCCAAGATCACTTAACAAAAAGGTTGTTTTTACATTAGTGTTAAATGCCAGCATATGCAATTTTATTTAATTCTCGTAAGGACCCTTTGCAATAGAAACTATTGCAGTTCTTAAGTCAAAGATAAGAGAACTGAGACAACAGTCTATTCCCTGTAATAAACAGAATCATGGCTCCATAAGATGTTCATGTTTTAATCCTTGAAATTTATGAATAGAGACAAAAAGGAACTTCAAATAGCAAAAGAGATCTTGCAGGTATGAACAAATTAAACATCTTGAGATGTGGAGATTTAGCTTGGATTATCTGGATTAGCCATTGCAATCATGAGTTCTTATCAGAGGGAGTCAGAAGGTCAGAAAGGAGAGAAGACGCTGGGTTGTTGTTTTGAAGTTGGAAGAAGGAGCCTTGCACCAAGGAATGTGGACAGCAGTTAGAACCTGGAACAGGCAAGGAAGCAGATTCTCCCCTAGATCCTCCAGAAAGAACAGATTCCTGTAGACTCATTTTAGCCATCTGACATCTTAAACTATAAGATAACAAATTTGTGTTGTTTCAACCCACAAAATTCATGTCACTTTTTTACAGCATCAATGAGAAAATACTATACTCGCCAAACCCTTCAGCTGTAAGACAACTCGAAGCTAGGGCTGCTTGACTCTAAAGTCCGTGATCTCAAACTCCATCCTGCATTGCTTTCAAATTAGCTGCAAGCTCTGTCCTCAAAAAGTCTGGATTATATTTTTACATGACATTGAACAGCTCTCCTTGAGTACTGCCTACAAGCCTACAAGGCTTCAGATGAATTTGAGAGATTAAGGAGTTTCAAATTGTTTAGAGGACAAGGCCATCTGTAGGGAAACAATATCCGTTTCTGTTTTCCAGAAATGTGACACATGCCCTAAGGTTATGATTTGCTGATGCTTTTTGCCAAAGGTAACTCTATGTATGCTTGAAAAGGTATTTACTCTTGCCATCCTGTTCTTTCCCTTCTTTGTATAAATATTTTCAGTGAATGATGTGGATAACCGGATAAAAAGGTATTTGCAAGATTCACAAACTGCACATGGACACTTTACAGAATTGTGCTTTCTGCAGTAAAGACAGAAGATAATGAAGGCTGATTGAAAGAAGCAGCTTCTGGTCCAGTGTGTTTTCTTCTAGGCATCAGTTTTCCTGTATTTGTTCATTATACAAAGAGATTTAGTATCTATTTGTCAGCAGTAAATGAGCTTAATTAGTTTTGTGTCCAAGGAATAGATCTGAGAAAGCAAAGGTAAAGAGGAAAACAAAAATTTATTAAGTGGCTACTATACCTGGTTTTCTACATATAACTAAATTCCTATTTACAACCATAGTGGAGGTATGTAGGTATTATTGACCTTAATTTTCAACATAAGTAAGGAGTTGGACTTGGTGAGACTAAATAATCTGCCCACGGTAAGTGTAAAACCTAAATTTATTTCCATATTTAAAAAAAAATCTCCAAAATCTCTTCTGGCAAGAGTTTTCTGAGTCTTTGTAGCTCTCCTTTTGCCGTGCACTGCACTTAGGTTTATTTTTTTTAATTAAAAATGATGGTGCATTCTTATAATTTTAGTGCATGACGTAGTGGCTGGTACATAGTGTACATCCAATGAACAGTTATTTAATTATTACATTAATAGGTTAAAGAAATTAAGTGGACAGAATTTACTTTGATGCTGTCTTTGTGCAGTAGTTTAGCTCTGTGGCAATTTCCTGAATGTGACTAGAGTGTAGAGGCCAGCGATCTGAAATTTGCACTTTAAATGTCAACTGAATTATCTTTGGACATTTTTGTTTTAACACAAAAAAATTCATGCTGTGTTCGAATTTACAAAGCACTTTCACATATATTATCTCATTTGACTTTCACAACGTCACTGGTATTATCTTCATTTTACAGATGAAAAAGCAAGAGATTACAGAAGTTAAATGAGCTTTCCAAAATCTTAGAGCTAATTAAATGAAGAGCTAACCTCGGAACTTTTGTTTTCTAATTTCAAATTCCGTGTTTTTTTCTACCATAGCATAATTTCTTGATTATACTCATTATTTATTCATTTCCTACAGCTTAAAGATTTGACTGCAGCTTTCTTCCATTTGTCTTTTCATGCACTTATTTAGTGATTTATAGATTCATTCACGAATATTTGTCAAATGCCTACTCTGTGTCAGACATACATTGAGAAGGAAATTGACATGGCCCTTGCATTTGTGGAACACGAGGTCTAAAGAAGAAAAGAGACTTTAAACAAATAGGTAAACATGTAATTATACAAAGAAAATTTTTATACATGCTAGAAAATAAAAATCATCCAATGACATAAAGGAGAAAATAAGGTAAGGCTTCGTTTGAATTGGTTGGATCCTGGAAAGCCTGTGGAAGAGCACAGCAAGGAGTTTCGGAGACAGAAGGAAAATCCTGTGCAAAGACCCTGCGGTAAGAATGAGTTAGAAGACAGAAAAGCAGACATAAAGACAACCTACATGGGGAGCAGAAACCAAAGAGGAGAGGAGAAAGATGAGGCTATGTTGGCAGGCAGAAGCCAAATGCTGCAGGGTGCTGAAGACCGTGTTAGAGATGTAAACTGTTGTCCAGTGTGATCAGCAGTCTTTAAAAGGTGGAAGCATGGAAGGAGAACTACTCAAGTTTTTAGATTTCTTTTTCTTCTGAAGCCACTTTGCTCAGTGAGACTTCCCTAATTCCTGCCAGTATACTCATGGCTCTTCTTCAGTAGCACTTATTCGAGTTTGGAAACATACATTTGTTTTGGGGATTACTCATTTAAAGTCTATCTCTATCAAAAGCGAGGATTGGATCTACCTTTCTCACTATCTTCAAAGTCCCTGTAGCACTTAATAAAAGGATGTCTTTATAGTAGGGTTAAATAACAACGTACGCAATAGTATTTAATTTCCATAATGACCCTTTGCACTTTGGCTGTTGGGCCATTAAAGGCAACAACAGAAAAAGAACAATCGTGGTTTCAGAGGGCAAGCAGATTACTTTAAAGGCATTTTGGAAGTAAACGCAATGTGATCTGGTGATTTGGATAGAGGGTGGGGTCAGGGTCAATGGAGCTCCCAGGTTGAGTCTTGAACAGGTTGGTCAAGAAGGCTGAGGTGGGGGCAGGTGAAGGTGGAGAGGGTATGGGAGAAAGATGGAGTTCAGACATGTAAGACAGTAAACCTGAGATGTCTGCAGCACAGCCAAGGAGCCAGCTGAAA